TAAACTATATAAAAATCGGTTTAGTTTTTTAATAACTTATAAATTGGAAAACTAGATACATTTAGAATTCATGTTAAATGTTTGATGAGTTTAGGTGTTATGCATCATACTAATTTTTAATACTTGAAATCAATTTTGTATTACTTGAGATTTTGCTATTAAAATCACCCTATGCATTGTTATACTAATTTTTCTAAAAAAAAAAAAAAAAAAAAAAAAAGGAATTTTTCAATAAAAAAATTCTTTTCTGAAGGGTATTTATACCCCCCAGACCCCCCATTCAAATACACATTCAAACTATTAATAATGGTTTTAATTAAAGTTAAAAAATTTTGAATTTTATAAAGATTCCGAAACTTTTTTTAACTTTTTAAATAATAATGTCGATCATTTTCAAATTTAATGTTGATCATTTCTAAAATCTAATTTTAGATTTTTTGACTGATGTTACACAAAAAATGTGAAATTTTGACAGCCTAATTTCTTGCTTTGTTAATAAGATAATCGACTATAAAAATTTAACCAAATAAATATTCAATTATTAGCATTGTATTAAAAATTTGATTAAAATTTTTATTTGTAGACCTAATAGAAAAAGTAAGAACTTAGCTGATTATATAATTTTTTTTTTTTTTTTTTTTTTAACGATATGGTACTGTTGTAAGTTTATTAATTAATGTAAGATTATTACAAATATAAATCAATGATAAAAAAGAAAAATAAAGTAAAAACATATAAAACTAAACTACAACTATCTCTCGTGATTCTGTTTCAAATCCATTTAGATCGACCAATCACTGGAAAAACTCTCCATATAAACCAAAAAATTTAACATTCAATGATGTATATATCAATGAGAAATTCAAATGACATATCAGTACCGCTCTAAAAATCCGACCATGAGAAACCAAATTTTAAAGCTGAAATGATCCAGACTTTCCATGTGTTTGATGTGCATTTTATTGAGTTAACGTTGGGAATTGATTTCAGTTTGACCTTCTTTTTCTTGAGCCTAGTAGTTATTCCTTTCCTTTTTTCAGTATCGATAACTGAATTGCATCTAGGTAACCAAATCTGTTCGTGAAAAGAAGAGAGGAGGAAATTCGCAGCCTCGATAATGATGGGCCTTGCTCTAAATTGTGGGAAAATCTTGCCAATCAATGTCGATAGTTTAGCGGGTATAAGTCCTCTAGCTATGGAAATACAGACATTTAAATTAAGCGTAGGATCTAATAGGTCTCGCAATCTTTGTCGAACCGAATTTTGATATAACGCTAGCTTTGGTTTGTTCTCTGTCAAAATAAGAGTGATATTAGTATCCACGTGATGTTGTAACGATCGACACATGCTTTCAATATCATCAGAACGGGCTGAACACGTCCA